CTGAAATCAAGGTGTGGGCAGGTTTGGTCTTTCTGGAGGGTCTGAAGGAGAAACAGTCCTGTGCCTCTCTCCTGGCTTCCGGTGGCTGCGGGTAGTCCTTGGTGCTCTCCAACTGGTATCACCTGTCTTGGCTTCCATCTTCACACCACCTTCTCCCCTGTGTGTATCTTCTCTTCCTATGAGGACACTTGTCATTGGATTTAGGGCCCACCCAGATATTCCAGGATGATCTCATCTCAAGATCCTTAACTAAATTACACCACAAAGGTCCCTGCTGAAAATCAAGTCATACTTGTTACAGTGGAGGGTATGCAGGTTCTTGGCATCTTGAACAAAGAATTGGACAAACAAAGCAAAGAGAGAATGATGCAACAAATGCAGAGATTTATTGAAAATGAAAATATGCTCCACAGGGTGGGAGAAGGCCCAAGCATAGGGACTCAAGAGCCCCGTTACAGAATTTTCTGGGGTTTAAATACCCTCTAGAGGTTTCCACTGGTTACTTGGTGTACGCCCTATGTAAATGAAGAGGATGAAGTAAAGTCACCAAGTCATCTACTCAGTGTATGGTCTATGTAAACAGAGAGGATATTTCTTGTCATAGCTGAAGTGTTTCCATTTGATTTAGTTCTAGGAAGTCAGCATGAATCGGTCTTATGTTCCCAGCCTCCAGACCCTATTCTCCCACCTCACATTCACAGATTCAAGGTGAATACATTCTCAGGTTCCAAGTGGACACATATTTTGTTGGGGGGAGGGGGCGGGGGATGGAGGGAGTGCAGGGGGTCGGCACAGGGGCAGCCATTCAACCCACCATATGTAGTTCCCTACCTTGAAGTGAAAGAGACCAGATACAGAGAGGTAATGATAATCAGCAGTACCCTGGGCAATATTTTTGAAGAGTAAAGTGTAAACCCATTATCTGGGTTACAGTATTTGTATCATCTCCTTTAAACATCTAAATCAATAGAAAATGCAGATATTGAAATTTGTGAAACCCAGAGGGGTAAAAGTGATTGCCTGTGTACTATACATATCAAAAGATCAAAAAGTTCATCTTTGGAGGAATTCATGGTCACCTGCTGAAAATCCCAAAGATAAACGAGTCAGGAAATCCTCCCAGCTTGTTGTGAAAAGGCATTCCCAGCTCAACAAGGATTTCTTGATTCTTTCTGCTGCTGGCATTTCTATTGATTGGGAAAGAAGATCCCAGGAGGGAAAGCATCAAGGTGGTCTGAATAATATTCTTGAAAATGCCAATGCTTTGTAAACACTAAAGATAAAACATGCCGACTATAGAGAGAAACAAGAGGTATCTTTTGTCTAATGAAAGAAATCGTTTATGTTGTGTGCACCATGTTTACATTTCTTTACATCCTCTTTCATGGAGAGTGTTTTGTAAATTAGTTAAGGTAGTTATAACTGTGGTTCCTCAATTTCAAGACCCATTTTCCCTTTTCCAGGTCAACTTCACACGAACTAACTTTAAGGGATTCCTCTTTAAGGGAATTTTGTAATACTCAGAAAAATGTGACTTTTATGAAAGTGTTAGAGGAGAAATGCAATGGCTTAAAATCAGCTGTGTTATTTGAGAACATAAAGAGAATTTCAAGTCCAAACAAAAAAACAGACTAATTATTGGTTCATATAAATCACTGAGCATGTAGATAATGAATAAACAGTTACATGTGTTTACATAATTTTGTATGAACAAATCTTGGAATCTATCCATTCTTTTCAGCAAGTTTTACTGAGTGCCTGTTGGACCAGGGACGATGCTACTCTTTTGCTATTTAGGAGGTGCAGTGGGAGAGTCAAACAAATGCCCAGTGTTATCAGTCCTCGGCTGCCCAACCTCTTCTAGACCTTCTATAGTGATGGGTATTCACTACCCTTCTAGAGCAGCTAGAATCTTCACTACCCTTCTAGAGCACCTAGAATCTACAGGAAACAAGTAGAAAGTTGGCAAAAATGCAGATTCCTGGAGCCACTCTGGAAATTCTGATTCAGCTAGTGTGCTGTGGGACCCAGGAACCTGTCATATTAACATGCACCTTGGGTGACTCTGGTGCAATTGTTTCCCAGGTGGTTCAGACACTGCTATTTTGAAAACTACTTGTCCAGTGGAGAGAGAACGTGTCAATCATGCTGTCAGACCTGATTGGTGAACTTGAGGCATGCACAGTACTGAGCCTCCTGGTGGTGAGTCAGAGGGCAGGAATGGGTGCCTCAGACAGTCTCCCTGGAATTACCATCCACCGTCACCCAGAAAAAGTCACAATTTTGCAGCCACACAGAAAAAGTCATAGTTCACTCTCTCATTAACTGCTTATTGAGCACCAGTTATGTGCCATACGCTGTTCTTGGTGCAGAGGCTAAGCAAAAAATGAAACAGTCAAAAACCTCATCCTTCTTGGAGCTTACATGCAAGAGGGGGAATAACTCTCAACTGTGCTCCATTAGTTTCACTCATGCATGCATGCATGCATTCATCTGTTTCACAAGCATGGATTAGACCAGGCATGGTGGGGGTGGGGGGTGCCGTAGTTCAGAAATAAACCCCACAGTCCCTACCTTCTAAGGAACCTACAGTCAAGGGGGAGAGACAAACTAGTAAAACCTTAAGAGGCAGTTTATCAAGTGCAAAGGTAGAAGAATCTGGAGGTGTCATGAGAACTCAAAAACAGCCAATCAAGGAAGGCTTCCCAGAAAAAGTGATAGTATACCTAAGCCTTGAAGGACAAGCAGGAGGTAACAGCAGCCACAGGCACATCAACATGAGAGGAGGGCATTGAATGGAGCTCAGCATAATTGGAGCAAGGGTGAGAAGTAGAGAAAACTGGTCCAGGAAGCTGCAGAGGCAAGTGGGGACTTTGACTATGGAGACTAGATTGTATCCTGACCTCCATGGGGAGCCACAGAAAGGTGTCAAGCAAAATGGAGTATCCTACTCTGATGTGTGTTTTAGAAAGATATTTCTGAGTTCAGTGAAAGGAATGAATTAAGAGAGCAGAGAGTACAGTCAGGCAATGAGAAGGACTTACTACAATAGAACGGGCCCAACTGGGGCCCGAATACACTAAGGCACTGTATATGCAGATGAAGAGGAAGGGACAGAGCTGAGAGATATTTAAGAAGCGGAACTGAGAACACTTGATGAGCCATTAGGTGCCAGGAGTATGAAGGGGAATGACAGTCCCTAAAATAGTTGGATGACAATTATGTTCCCAAAATTTCTCATTAGCTTTCCCTTAGGATTCCCTTAGTTTTCCATTTGTACATCCTCCTGGTTCCTCCCAATCTTACTGCTGCTCACCATAAGTGAACTGAATTAATGGAGAGCTTGGCCGTGGTCTCTGTGGAACAACTTACTCAAGGTGAATCCACATACTTAAATACCCCAGTCAAATTTAAATTATCTTCAGGGGGTCAAATCAACTAATAAAAAAAGGAATTTAGTCATCATCTAAGGCAGAAAATCCCGAAGAATTGGAAATTCTCTTTGCTGAGTAACTGAATCTAGAGTTCATACAAAGCAAATTGCCCTCTATGGCATTCAAAAAATAAGGGCAGACCTGCAAATCCAGAAGAGTGGTTACCTCAAGGGGGCTGAGGGGAATGAGGGCAGAGGAAATGCAATTAAAGAAATGTAGAAATCTTCCATAATAATTATGGGGTTTTATTCTTTTGCTGGTGGTGTAACATAAATGTTCAGTTTATTTTATTTTATTTTATTTGAGACAGAGTTTTGCTTTTGTTGCCCAGGCTGGAGTGCAATGGCACGACCTCAGCTCATCGCAACCTCCGCCTCCTGGGTTCAAGCAATTCTCCTGCCTCAACCTCCAGAGTAGCTGGGATTACTGGCGTGCACCACCACACCCAGCTAATTTTGTATTTTTAGTAGATACAGGGTTTTTCCATGCTGGTCAGGCTGGTCTCAAACTCCCAACCTCAGGTGATCCACCTGCCTCAGCCCTCCAAAGTGCTGGGATTACAGGGGTGAGCCACTGCGCCTGGTCAAATGTTCACCATTTTATACACTGTGTGATGGGCCTAAAACGTTTCAGACATGCCTGAGATCCCTTTAGGGCTCTGCTCACTAACTGTGATCTGGAGAAAAGGTTCCAGGAGACCCTTTAGCAAGTGACAGCTGTTTCTTCTTCACCTGGGTACTGGCAGATTCTTGTATATCTGAAGGGATCTTATGCATGGAGAGTAATGTCTATTGCTAGTTGTATTCTGATTGCTTCTTGATAGACTAAACACATGAATCTAGTAAACAAAACTTTGAAAATCAAAGGAAAACGCTGAAAGAAAGACAACAGAGATAAATTTAAGCCAGTGATTTTTATATCACATAACTCAAAGCCCTAGATACTCTCTAGAGACAGACTGTCGAGTGACCCAGGCTGTGCCTCCTACCCTGGTTTCCCGCCAGTGTTTCCGCCTGACTATATACTGTGCTGGCTCACCACACAGTAGATTACTATTAATGATGAGTTCTATAGTTTAAAGAAATTTCATAAATAGTGGATTTTGAAAATTAGAAATTTTAATTTCCTCCATTTTTCCTTCACAGCCAGAATTTAGGCATGGCTAGTTTACTGTATACATGCCCACACACATGCATAATGTATACATACAACGTATACATATGTACCTATATATACATAATGTAAACATACACACACAGTATGGTTAATGACCAAATGGGTCCAACAGAAAAGAGCAATATAAAATTCCTGGACAAAAGGCTGGGCATGGTGGCTCATGCCTATAATCCTAGCAATTTGGGAGGTCGAGGCGGGCAGATCACTTGAGATCAGGAATTCAAATCCAGCCTGGGCAAAATGGCAAAACCCCATCTCTACTAAAAATACAAAAATTAGCTAGGCATGGTAGTGGGAGCCTGTAATTCCAGCTACTCAGGAGGCTGAGGCAGGAGAATCACTTGAACCCGGGAAGCAGAGGTTGCAGTGAGCCGAGATAGCACCACTGTACTCTAGCCTAGGCAACAGAGTAAGACTCCTTCTCTAAAATAAAATAAAATAACTAAACAAAGATCCCATTTTTCCCTTGGTTTATTAAAGGAAATAAGCTATTTTTTATGTATTGACTTCTCCATAAAGCCTTCTGTGATCATTTTATGCACACTAAACTCTCACTGAGGGCTGGTACTGGTACCTCTTGTGTGAGCTTATAGCTTTCACTCTACTAAGCCCACAATTAACACTCTGGTACTTGTCAAGTGAGCAGATGAATGAATGAAAGATTAAAGCACAAAATAGTAACAAATAGATGAATGGTTGAACAATTTGTCTGATCAATTTATTCACACATGAATTATGTTCTGCCCTCATTAAAATTATGGGTCATCCACAATATGAACACATATATAAATTTCTGCAGGTGTTAATTTCACAGCCAGAATCCATACCTGACAACATTTTCATGTGTGAACACTTAGAATGAAGGCAAAATATCTTTCTTAAACTAGCATGACTACCCTTGACAGCAGCAGTATAAACAGACTCTTGTCAGAGATTTGTTGATTATCTTTTTGCAACTAACATCCACTTTGTAGATCTGCATTACCATGAAAAGGCTTTCTGTTGGGAAACATGTTGGGAACCTCCCATGCATAAGTCTGCCAGAATGCAAGCAAAGACTACCTTATTGCCTACTTTTTGATGACTTTTCTTTCACGAACAAACCCAAAGGGCAACAAGTTGATCACAATAGTTTCCTCACTCAACAGAAAGAAATGAAGACTTAATGTTAAAATCCAATTCAATTACCATTGGTTGGGCATCTACTAGCAAAAGGACTGGGATAGATGGAGCAGTGAAGTGCAAAGATATCTACAAGAAGTTGTCAATCTAGGTAGAGTTGCAGGCATTTCATACTTTGTTTATTTACTTAACTAGTATTTATTCAACATATGCTATGAGCCAAGCACTTTTGCTGAGCCCTGGTGATAGACATAAACATACAGGCACGGTCCATTCCCAAAGTGAGTTTGCAGTGCTATAGGTAAGGCGAATATTAAATAATGGGTGTATGAACAAATATAAATTATGAACACAGTTCAATGTTTTATAGAGAAATGATGAAATTCTATGAAAGAGAATAATAGGGGATAATGTTCTTTAAAGGGAGGGTTCAGATGTGACATTTACAAGAAAGTATCCTTTGTGCTGCCTCCTACCTGTGACCCTTGTATTTTATATTATAGTGTGAGTAATAAGGGCTGGTATAAGATGCAGGAAGTTCTGTGGGCATATAGGTTAAAAAGACATCTAGCTCCAGCTAAGGGATTCTTATGGAAAAGACATTTTTGAGGGAAGTGTCTTTCTTCACATCTTCCCTGAAGATGGACAGAGATTTTACATGTGAATAAAACTGCATGAACAAAGGAAGAGAGGAAGGAAAGCAAAGCGTGTCTAGGAAACAGCAAGTAGTTGAGTATAGCTAAAGAACAAGGTATGATTGATAGGGATCAGATTATGAAGGTCCTAGAATGCCAGGCCAAGGATTGTAAACATTACCCTATAGGCACTAGGGAGTCATGAATAGCTTATGAGCAGGCTAGTGGGATGCTCATACCTGTGCTTTAGAAACCCAGCATGGCACATGAGTGGAGAGTGATGTACAAAGGATACACTAAAGGTGGCTAGAATAACGAGATCCAGATGAGATTTTTTAAAACAAGCAAAACGTCCATGGTTCACCTGAGAATAATGAAGCCTTGAAATGGGACAGTGGGTGCAAAAATGGAAGGACATGACAAATGGCAAATGCTGACTAGGTGATCTGCCTGGCTAGACATAGGCCAGTCCTGATGGGCCTTAATAAGTGAGAAGGTTGTGTCAGTTGTGACACTGAAATCTTGAATTTTAGAAACTGGAAAGCTGGTGGTGTCACGTCTATGAAATAGATGCTTTGTTTGATTTGGGATATGTTGAATTTGGGAGTTTGCAGAGCCTTCTGTCTTGCAGGCTTTAGAAGTTCAGATCCGTAGCAACCAAGCTAGAATGACCAAGCCAGAGGCGAGTGACTTGATTCACTGAGGCAGCTACAATCCAGACCTTGAGTCCCAGGACTCTGCATCTGTTTTGTTTAGCCAGGGGATTATTATAAAATATTTACTGTACTCAAGCCTGGGCCTCCCCTGAGAATTGGGATCACAGCGCTTAACCTAATATTCTCTAAGATTATTACTGCTAATAATTCCTTATTGGGGAAATCAAATAGTTACGACTTTTCACTGTTGTTGGAAAAGCTTGAGGGGTGAGTCATGTATTACCCATAGAGGAACTCTGTACACACTAGGCACATAGTAAAATTAGGTTCAAATAAAATGCTATGGAAGAGTGTTTCATTTCAGAAAGGCTTACAGTCATCCCCTTACTGGAAATGAGTGTTAGAAGGCACTAAAAGGCTGTGTGCTCTCTGCAGTATTTAATACAAGGGCTCCATTTTTCTTTTAATCTACATGACATTGATACTAAAATTTGTAAGCAGTAAAAGCAGTTGCAGGAGACTTTTTCACTTATGGTACTGTATCATTTATGAAACACATTTGCCAATATTGCTCTTCTGATCCTCACGACAACTCAGCAGAGTTTGTGTTGCTGCCCCTCCTTTCCTTCAAGGAAACTGAGGCTCAGAGAGGTCACAGGTGGTGTGCAGGGTCATCTAAGTAGAAAGCATCAGAGTCAAGGTTGAGTCCAGAGCCTTATCATTGTAAACTGTATATTCATGTAGCACTTTGTAGTTAACAATGCACTTTCATGATAACCTACTAAATCTTCCCAAGGACCCAGTTTGGTAGTCACTGTTGATACCCTTTACAGCAGAGGGACCTGAGAAGCTGAACGACTTGGCAATAGTCACAAGAGAGTGGGGGAGCTGAGACTCCTAGCCTGGGCACTCTCTCTCCACTCCCCACCTTGTGTGGGCCTCCTTCCAAGACCCCAGAGGGTAGGATCCACTGATTATCATTACTCTCAGACAACCAGGACTCTCATCTGTTGCATACTACAGGACCAAAAAAGCTCCCATGAGTTCTTCCTTCTTCACACATCTTAACCCAATATATACCGCTGAGGAAGACATCTTTAAAAATGCAGGACAATCCCTTGAACCCAGGAGGGGGAGGTTGCAGTGAGCTGAGATAACGCCACTGCTCTCCAGCCTGGGAGACAGGGTGAGACTGCGTCTCAAAAAAAAAAAAAGAAAGAAAAGAAAAGAAAGAAAGAAAGAAAGAAAGAAAGAAAGAAAGAAAGAAAGAAAAATGCTGACCCTTCCTTGAAGTTTTTCAAAGATTCCAGATTCAAATGCCCAAGATTGAACTTCATCAATACATACCTATACATACCACCACCAATATCATCCCATTCATGGAGTTTACCAAAGAGAGAAAAGCTCTTTGAATGCCAAAGGCCAGTCCTCCCTGCCAGTTGATAATGGCACCTATGTTGTCAGTTCAGCTGATCACTCCAGGCAGTAGCCAAAGAATAAAGAATAACCCTTCCCAGCACACAGACTGTTGAAACTAGCTTGAGTATAACTGAGTCACTTTGAGCCACTCGTATCCTGGAGCCTGTTAGCAACAGGTATCACAAAGCGTACTCTGCAAGCATTGAAGCATAATGCAGGTTTTACCAAAAGTTTCTTCATGGAGATAGAGGAGGAGGTTCCCATTTTATATGATAAAGCAAAACCTCCTCTAACTCATTCCTGGAAATCTCTCTGGTTCCCCAAAGCACCTAACGGTATAGCTGCTCCTCCCTCTCTCCTCCTTCCTGCAACTTCTCTACACCCATTCCTCTCCTGTAGCCGCCGCCACCATGCCCCGTATCTCTCTTTCAGTAAAGCAACTGGCACCCCTAGGCATCAACCCTACTCAGGAAACCTAAGAGTATTCCTTGGGATCTGTTCTTTTTAAAATTTGGGAGCTGTTGAATAGAAAGAGAGAGAGCTGGAGAAAAATACAAATCTAAAAACTGTTGATTTCATTATTGTTCCTGCCCAAAAATACTAACATAATAACCAACATTTTCTGCTCCCAATTCTTTGCATACTTTCTCTCTAATGCTCAAAACAGCCCTATAAGGCAAATAAAGATCTCCATTTTACAGATGAGAATGCTGAGGCTTAGAGGAATCGAAACTTCTTACCAGCTATAGATGTAAAGTGGCAGGCCTAAATCTACCTGACTTTAAAACTCATGCATACCCCAGCAGACTTCACGGAGGCAGAACATTGGGCTGCTTTTCCTTTGGGAGCTGCCCTCTCCTCCCAGCCACTCAACTCAAGCCAGCTGCAGGCCCCTCCCCCATTCCACCTTGTGGTTCCCCTGGCCAGAGGGAAAAGGAAGTTTGTTACCTTTCAGCTGATAGACCCACTTCCTGAGCTAGCTCAAGGTGCTGGTGCACACATGGCCCAGTTCTCCCATGCCAGAGACCTGCTCACTACCCTCTAGTCACATCTGGGACATATTTAAAATTACCTCTAACCACAACTGCAAAGTAAGATGGCAAGAGATTAAGCAAATGCCATAGGCTTGCTTGCTAAGGTTCAGCACAGGAGATCCATGTCCCTACTTCCCCTACTCTGGCTCTGCCCAGGAAAACTGGGCAACTTCATATGGGAAGTTTGATCCAATTGTTTCCACTTGAGAGCAAGTACAGAATCCTTGGATGTCTTCTGGACTCAGTGACTTCTTGCAAGTGGAGAGTGATGGGAGGTGGTGGAGGGTGAGTTGTTGTGAAGCAATCAGCCTTGAAACCAAACTGACCCAAGCACGTGTCCTAGCTGTGCTGCTCACTACCTGTGTAGCCCTGGGTAAGTTACCTAACTTCCCACCTGCAGTGGTGTTTCCTCGCCTGAATATGAGAGAGTTGTTAAGGATTAATGACAGAAAGCCTGCATCTAAAACAAAGGCTTCAGTAAATGTAATTTATCCTCATTATTATTCCCAGTGGGAGCGTTGGCTCTCTCCTATCCTCCCTAGCAATGGGGCAATCTTTTAACCTCTGGGCCCCAAATTTCCTCACCTGCATTGGCTGGTCAGAGGCCATGATCTCTCAGGTCCCTTCCTGCATTGGTTATCTATGAAGCAACCTCCATTTGGCATTTATTTTCCTGCTTGTTGGCTGAAAATAAGTTCACTCATTCCCAAAACCTCTTGGAAAAAGAGGGACACTGCTTGGCATAGGCTGTCATTGGAAACAGCTCTTCTTTTCCAGAATAGCAATAAAAAACATGTGTTGTTTGCTGTTTGTTCAAGTTCAGAGGGAAGGAGAGATGGTGACAGTGAATTCATGTGACAAAGAGACCTGGGATGGAATCGAGGTGGGAGGACAGGTACTTTTAGTATATTAAATCCACAATCTGGGGTTTTGAGGGGCCTTCTACTCTGTGTAAGTTTGCCTAGAGTACATACCTGTTGTGTGATAAAAATAACAGTGTGGCATTCTTACAGTCCTCCATCCTGGAGTGGAACTTTTCAAATCAGAACCCCGGGAGTGACAGTCAACATTGAAGGGTGCCAAGGACAGGGAGCAGGGACATGATGAAATAAGTATTAACCCGTGATAGAGAGGAGGAGAAAAGGAGAGAAAGAGAAGCAGTACGATCTGGGCTCTGATCAGCTGGGCCCCTGCTGTTGGCCAAGCAAGCAGGCTTTGCCAGGAGCTTCCCAAAGGCAGCTGTCCAGCCAACCCCATGCAAGCTCCTGCCAGGAGGCATCATTACAGACGAGTGTCTGATCAGCTCCATCGAGATCACATTAAAGGCTCTCCTACCCACCCCCCTTCTGAAAGAGTGTTACCGTTTGGACAGATTTTCAGGGTCACTTTCTGACCCATCTCTGGAAAAACAATCACTGTCAGACCCCTCCTGACTTATTTGCTAATGGGAACAAAAACCATACATCTTTATTCAAAATAAAGAATGATGCCCAGCACTAGCCCTTGGGCTCTTTGAAGGACTTCTGCTTCCTTTTCCCTTGCATGTTCCACTACCCTTTGGCCACTCCTGGAAATAAGTCCCCTTCCAGGTAAGCATGCTTTGCTAATTAATTTATTCCATCTGTTCTTTCCTCTGGAACTTTCACCATGACACAGAAGGTTCTGAAACAGATTTGGTTCTTATATTGATAGCCAGGTAACCGATAATGGATGGAGAGTAGAGTATGGAGGGCTGAAGGAAAGGGGCATGTAAGTTTTGTCCCCTTACATGTGCCTGACTTTTAGGCAAATCTCTGATTTATCCAATCCATTAAAGGCATGGAGACATCTGAAACTGCATATGAAAAAAGCTAATCTCTGCATTGCAAGGGAGTTTTTAAAACCATACCCTGTTCAGGTCACTGGTAGAAAGAACGAGGAGGAAGGGAAGTAAACAAACTAATGAATAACTGTTCATGATTCATGTGAATAAAAGAATAAACACACTAATGGAGTGCCGACCACGAGCCAGCTCCTCAACCAGGTGGTTTATTTGCTTTTTAACTCTCAGGACAAGTTTGTGAGTAGGTAGAATACTGCCTGTGTTACAGGCAAGACAGCTATACCTCACAGAAGTGGAATAACTTGCTTTCGGACACTCAGACCTTGAGTGGCAGAGCACAATTCAAACCTACATCAGCATCACTCTAAAATCTACTCCTCCTCCCAGGCCACACTGAGACATGCGCATTTCTTTGCTGTGAGTTTGTCTCTTCTAGAATTCTGATGACTCAGAGTCTTTGGCAGGACCCCATCATGTCTTCAGAGGTGGAGAAAATCAGCGACCGCTGCTAGGGTGGGCAAGCTCTCCCTGACAGCTTGGGAGAAGCAAACATTGCCTTCTATGCACAGGCTTCCTTCATTGAGTTAGTTACCTTTATTTGAAGTCAAATGCCGTTTATCTAAATTGACAGCAGGTTGCTGATCAAATATTACTGAGTCTTCTCTAGGTGTGAACCTGGGTGAGTTCCCCTGTATACCCTTGGTTAATGCTTTGTGACTGTGGGAGCCAGAACCGAGGAGTCTGGCTCAGCCTAACGCAATGTGACAGCTAACATCCAAAGGAGAAAATAGTCCCTCTCTACTGTTTCCCACATTCCCCATGTTTACAGCGTGCACATTACAAACCCAGTCTGCAATGGACTTTTTAACACACTAGGTGTTGCCACTTGGAAAGGTTACTTTTACATTTGCAATCTTTGCATTGTGTTCCCTGCTATGGATTATGGAGCAAGCGAATGAAAAGCAAGTGTTCAATGTAATTGTGTGTTTGGTTCCTCTGATACCCTGTTGGAAGAGGCTTACCAAGGGAGAGGCCCAGGCCATATGGGCTGGGGTGCAGATGCCGGTGGCCAGGCTCAGTGCCCCAGAGGTTCACGGTGGCTCTCAGTTGACGTTGAGGCACTCTGAGGGAGTCAGGACAGACTTTCTTCAGTGCAAGAGCAATGCCCGTTCCAGCCTGGAGTTGATTGCGATAACCTTGACAACAGGAACAATGAATGGCACATCATTTTCCTGAGGATGCATCGGTACACGGAAAGATCTCTGCCAAATCTCATCCCCTTGCCAAGGCTTCCAGGTGTTTCTTTGTGTTCGCGCAGAGAACTAACATCATTTTTTCCTTCAGTTCAGAAGAGGTGGTCCAAAGTGTTTAAGCGACAGTAGTTGCAACATGTCAGAGTGGGAATTTATTATCTCAGCCCCAATAGGTCTTAATAAGCCTTACACAACTGTTTAGGCATTTATTCTATTAACGGCTGTTCATTCTGGTGGCTTCACCTGAATATTCATGATCTTCCTATCCCCAGAGCTTCAGCATAGCAGCTGTTTAAAACCCGCAGCAAATGTTCAAGAGAGTTCCACAAATATAAACACCCTCACAGCTGAATGTTCCAGCTCTGGCCTCACAGAGGCTAAGCCATGAAACATTTATGTGGAGTGGTTTTTGGAGGGCAGCATTTACAAAACTTAAATAATCTTTCCCCTTTGGGGAGCCTCAACTCTGTTTGAAACATGACCACAAGGACAAAGGGTCCAGGAGGACCCAAGTCCACAAAGATAACTGCCCCCACCTTGCTTCCTCCTAGAAAGGGAGGTTCTGAATAAATTCGAACTGGAAGGGAGCTAGAGTGAGTTCGGGGGGTGGGCCGGGTGGATGCGCAACCCACTTCAGGGGAGAGGGCCAAGTCAGCTCCTTGTGAAAGAGTGAGGTGGTTTGTACAGGGAATATTTTTAGTGTAAATATATCAAAAGAGAAAGCATTGGTGGTGGTTTTTCCAAAGGGATATAACCAGGAATGACAGGATTAAATTAGCAAGAGCACAATCTGACATGAAATTTTGTGAGATCTCCCTCTTGAGCATATGTTTCCTGCCTTTCAGTCAGAATGCAAAGTAGAAAAAGTTCAGGCCCATCTTTATGATTGGACAAATCTCCCCCTTGGGCAAGTCACTTAACCATTTTGTGCCTCAACGTCCTCATTTATAAACTAGAGGGGAGGGGGATGTTGTGTCAAAGAAGATGACGAAGTGATGGCATTGTGTAAACCAATAATGTAGTATAATTAATGTATTAGAAATACACATTCCCATTGTCTTTGACTTATCCAGAGAAGATTTTGTAAGAATTAGTTTAAAAGCATAAAGTTAAAGATAAGTAAGCATACTTTTCTAGCCTGTTTGTGGAAGACCAAGCTCACCTTGACCAGTGAGGACAGTAGGGGGAACAAGGATATGGGAATGTAGTGAAAAGAACATGGGTTGTGGAGTTAGATTAACCTGGATTCAGCATTACTGCTTCAATTTGGGCAAATAATGCAGCTTTTCTGAGCCCAGTTCCTTCATTTGTAATATGTAAAAAAATACCTTACACGTTTGTCACAAGGTTTGAGATGTGTGCAATACACAGCACAGTGCCTGGCACGACATAGCTGCACACCAGATGTGATTTCCTTCTCCCACCTCTGGTATGGGAGCACAGCTAGCCTGTCAGCCCGAGCAGGCCCACCCTACAGCCCCCTACCCATAGCAGTGGTGATCTGGGAGCCTAGTTAGGTGGACAGACAGAATAGCACGGTTGCCAGCCAGTGACTTCTCCAGGCAGTACACCACCTCTGCAGGTCAAGAATCTGGGTTCATTCTTCCCTGGGAACTCTATGGGCTGAAAAAGAAGGAGAGAGAGAAAGGCTTTTTGGAATTTCTGAAGGAAGATGCCCACCCCCGGTCAAGGCTTCACTGCTTGTGCCTCCCCAGAATGCACATGGGAAATGCTCACATGTGTTGTCATCCGCTTTTTGTATGCATGTCCCTCAATAGGGAACTGCTTCTCCACCTTTTGTAAATGCCATCTTTGGATTCGCAAAAAAAAACTCAAATCCTTTCACAGTATCTGGAATTCCAAAATAAAAGAAATACAATGACCAACATCCACTCAATGTGATGATAATATCAACGTATTTTTTAAGCTGTGCAAGCTTTCTCCCTAATGCAGCTTCATATCCCAAGCTTGGAAAAAAATCATAATATAAATGAGAATGAGAGAATCAAACATGGTAAAAATGAATTAATATAAGCAGGTATCAAATGTTATAATAGAGGAGCAGAGTACGTCCCTGGGAGCATTGAGGAAGAGGGAGTCTGCTGAGAGAACCAGGGGAAGAGCTGCAGAGAGAAGGGCACAATTTGAGTGTACATTTTCTGAATGGAAAAGCTGGAACAGTTATTCCAAGGACAGGCAACTGAATGGACAAGGTTCTTAAGGGAAGGAAAAGGATGATGTGATAAGGAAATGATAAAAAGCTCCTTATGGCTGAAGTGGTTGAGTGGGGAGCACCGTTGGAGAAGGTTCCAGAACTTTGTGCTGGGCTGAGGTGCTGGACTATATCCTATAGGCAGGGGTGGAATAATATCATCAGGACTCTATTTCAAAAGAAAAATGCATGCATGTGTACGATGTTTAAAAATTGAGTTAGGAAGACCAGAGACAAAGAGATCCTAAGCCATTGATCTCACCCTGCCAGTTACCCCGCAAGGTGGCCATTGTTTCTATTTCCCTATAACAGTAAGGAAACTGGAGCTCAAAGCAGCCCATGACTTGCTCTTTAGCTGTTAAGTGGCAAAGCTGAGACTCAAACACAGACCTCTTGATTTCAAGTCAAGGGCTCTTTTTACTTCTCACAACTCATTAGCTACTACAACCACAAAATGCAGACCCTGAGTTGCTTTCAGGGGTTCTGAACTTCTTTATGCTATGGACCCATTTAACAGTCTGGTGAATCATGGACCTCTTTTCAGAGTAGTATTTTAAATACATAAAAGAAGAAAGTGCATTGAGCAACTAAAGTTACTATGTATGTTGTGATCAAATATATACACATTATCAAATAGATAGCTACCAAATCCATGTATCAAAATATTTCAAATAGTGTGCTATAGCAAGAATAGTGCTTCTGTATTCATGCATCACAAAGCAAGCTCTATTAGGGGGATTAATATTTACCAGAATTTCAAGATAGTGGTAAATGTAAATAATGTTTCAAGACATCTTCAACGACTGCAATGTGATATGAAGATATCTGTGATTTCTAGTGATGACAAAGTCCTGGTTTTTGCTAATATTACTGTGACTCTCCATTGCTAATATTATTGCTCTCCATCATAATTAGTAGACATGATAAATTTCTTTTAGAGATTAGTGAACATAAAGGCATAATTTATTTTCTCATCTAAATTCAAATATCCTTGAATAATATCCATGAACCCTGGTAAAGAACCTCAGAAAATATTTCAAATTTGAGATAGTCTATAAAGTGATTTCTAAAATATTTAGGAAGTAGATCTTTTTTTTCCAAATGAACCAAGAAGTCGAATTTCCATGATGAAATAGTTCAAAGCAGAAAATCTCTGGCTGAAGCTGTGTAGGAAGGACTCCCAAGTCTCCTCATTGTGCCTCTTAGACCCATGAACCCCAAATGGAGCCAACCCATAAGACATCTCCTTCACAGAAAACACTTTGTTATGGTTTCCAGCACTTGTTGGCAGTGCTCAACTTTCTCAAGGCAAGGGTCTAGAAAGTTTTCTGGTCATAGCAGCCCTTTCCTGAAAAGACACTGTCATTCCACTCTCAGGAAAGCTTGCTTTAAGGGCAAGTTTCTGAACAACCGGGGAACTTCAGGAATATGCCAGGGGTAGCATTGTTCGTACACAGGCCTGCTTCCAGTGAACAGTAAGGGTTTCGAGCTAATAAGGAAATAATCCATTTTCAGCAGATGAAAGAAGAGGGATCAGAAAGGTAACTTGAGCTGAGAGTAATAACGGTGCCAAAAACTTATAATGGAAACTATCTGAAGAATCCAAGACCCTTTGTTAGATATGAATGATTTCTTTTTTCTGGTGAGAAGTGTATGGAGAACATGAGAAGAAGGGCCTGAGTGGATTTTATGAAAAAATCCTCTGTCTGGGGAAGAAGGGTTTGGGGTTAGGTTGCAGCTCCACTGTATCCTTCAGTTGCATAACAGGGAGGGAGTTGAAAGATGTTCAAACCACCACAATATGATGTGCTCTGTCTTTGAACTCTTTCTTCCAGATTTTAACTGTAAGTTCATACATGTTTCCCCAAAATCCCTCTAGCTAGGTGTGCAATAGACAGCAGACAGAAACAAATTTAATTAACAAAGAATTCTTAACATTGCACACACCTGGAGTTCCCCGCTCTTAGCGCCGGCATCTGTACTGTAATTGTCAGCAAGAATCCACCTAATCAAGATACCTATATATAACAATACTTTAAAGCTCTTAGAAGCAGGATTTTTTAAAACATCAAATGGATTTCGTTGAAAATGTCTAACCCCCTTCTTAAATATGAACTAGAACCTGTGGCCTTTACTATCAAAAGACAAAGAATTATAAAAGGTATGGAGTGGGCTATCATATCAGTTTATAGTTCCTTTTATTCATTCATTCATCTAATTATTCAAAAACTATTTATTGAATGGTTTTGATGGTCGATGGGCTGAATGAGGTGCCGGAGAAACATTGCAGAACAAGACCCGGTCCTTGTTCTCATAGAAGACATAGAGAGCAGACAGGCATTACACCAATGATTATTCCATTCCTCCTCATTCTCAGCCTTCAGTGTGACTAACAATCATCCAGGAAGCTTGCTTAAAACCACATATTCCAAAATCACCAGACCTGAAGTGGGGCTGAGGAATTAGCATTTTTTTAATGCGTTCCGCGGTGAGTCTGGTGCGGGTTTGTTGAAGAATCGTGCAACTAACGAGGCTACAGAACAGTCTCTCTGTGTTTCCTGTGGCCCCCGAGTCTTCTGTCCCAAGCTTTCCACATAGGAATGCTCATTTTGTGCTTCACAGCCCTTAGTCTTTGCCTGCACACTTTCTTAGAACTCAGTCTTTAAACACTAGGTTCCAAGCGTTAAATAATTTATTTCTAGGGAAAACTCTAATTCCCACCAACATACTCTGAAAACACCTTCAGCATTTTCCTGCAGCTCCCTGTTCCCTAACCTGAACCCCCTGCCACTCCACCCTTTCAGAGAGCTGTATCGTTTCTCTATCCTGTGAGGTTCAGCAGTGGGAGAAATTTCACACCCCTTTGGACAGGGAGAGTCACTTTCTGCTTGCAGGGTGCTTGAGTCCTTCCAATAGGAAACCATTCAATAGCCCATCACACCTGGTATTATCAAAGGGCATAACTGTTTCACCTCTTCCTGCCTCCTGTTACAAACACACATGTGTTCGCTCACACATCTATATGTATATAAGTAGGTTTGCATATAAAACTATCTAAATAAATAAAATCTGTCATTTTCTTAATGTTATCAAAAGATATCAATTTTCAAATTCTCACGTACAAACCATATACAGCCAGCAGTCCATACGAAAATGCTAGTCTTCTCAATTATATTTTCATAAAGCTACGACAAAGGAAAGAATCCCAGTCTCAAAGTATAATGGCCCTTTCTCTTCCTGTAGATAACAGAGTTAGGATCATGCCTTGACATGACCCTGTGCCTGGACCTTACTGTGACTCAGCCCATGACTCTAACAAATTAAGGCAAGACCAGCTTTCATCTCCCTCCCAAGCACAAATTGTTGCTGCTTAATAATCTCCGAACCAACTAACTATATCCCAGTAGATTCTAATACTTGTGAAAGTCACTCTCTACATTTTAAATTTCTTCATAGTATGGTAATACTTTACTATTAAAAAAGTAGGTGTTTGGGGTGAGCTGAATTTGTGAAAAGTGTGAATTATAAAGTATATCTTTTCAGAGAAATTTTGTTACCATAAAATACAACTAAATTAAGTAAGTATTGCCTAGTAGAAGGCATGCTGCCCTGCCCTGCTCTAATGAGTGGATGAGAATAATTTGTAATTCACATACAAACGTACTGAATTGCTTTTTTAAATGTTCCTAGCACAGGGCACACATGCTTCCAAAGGACACATCACAGGAATTAACCAAAGCTGGTTCTGGAAATACTCAGTAGGGATATTATAGCAGATTTAAGCACTGGATAATTTTTTGAAGTCTATATCAGCCCAAAACTTCCATGATTATGTGACAAACTCAATTTAACATATCTTTTTTTAAATTCGATAAAATTATTTTGAGTTATCATGAAGTCTACACTAGTAACACCCAAATTGAAAGATTTTGCTGAACCCAATTACTCTGTTTTCTGATTTTTGTAGGAAAGTTGATATTTGGTGTCCTGCCAAGAGCATCATGTTCCATGATATCTAAATGAAGAAAAGTAGAAAACTTTACTTCAAAGATAAAAAGAGTAGCACAATAATAAAATTAGCAACTGACGTTTATGTCATAGTGTACAATTTACTTCCAAATGCTCTATCTTTTAAAATTCACACTTATTCTGTACAATAATTAAAGAGAGTTATTATTAATAATTCCATCTTAAAGTCAGAGAATCCAAGAATCTGTAAGCTCTTTTAGGATCGCGGTTCAGGTCTTCTGACTCCAGAGTCTACCTGGTGTATAATAGAAACTCAGTGTGTATTAGTTTAATAAATGAACAAATTAATTAATTAAAGTAATTAAGGATATCCTAGCTAATTAAAAGAAAGCACTACTAGGCAAAGGAAACTAGTTGTTTCAACACTAAACATCACTCAGATGCTTAGGAATACAGCAATCCTGTCATAATACATAGCCAGGACTGGCTACATGATTTGCAGGGCCTGCTGTAAAGTGAACACATAAGGACCCTTATTCAAAAATCATTAAGAAATTCAGGAGAGTAACAAGAGAGTATTCAAGCACATGATCCTTCAAAGAGCAGTGAGCCCTGATGACTACACAGATTGTTCATCCTTGAAGCCTGCTCTGCTCAGAACATTTTAAAGCTTAGAGCACTAGCTCCTGGAAGAAATGATACCACCCTGTGGATAGCGTTTTTAATATTTGGTAGGTGGGCAGGTTCTTGGTTGGTACAAGGAGGTTCTGCTGGTTCATAGTGGGCAGGAGCCAAGGATTCCAGAGATCTTCAATGGCATGGACAGTTCTGAACTATGAAGAATCTTTCTGCTTCTCAGAGAGCTTTTGAATGTTCCACAGATATTTATATGGCTGAAAAGCCTGTTTTTTAAATTATCTGAGCTTAAAATCTACCTTTGCTTTACATATCTTGAATTTTCCAGGAATATGACTACCATGTCAATACTGGAAATGTTGTGTGCTGCTAGTTTAGAACTGTAACGACATCAGTACTTCTTGTGGCATATGAGGCACCAAAGTAACCTACCTGCATCACTCTGCATTTGTAACTGTCACATCATTCAAAGTGATTCAGCAGAGTAGTGTGAAGTTCTGACCCCTTCATCATATCTTCTGGTACTAGCCATACTTTTACATAAAGGAATATGTATTATTTTATCATAAATTGTTTTCCTTTTATTTCCCCTTTAAATTACAGTTAGAGTATTTATTTTCCTAATTAGATGAAGGTAGGTTGTAATATTGAATCATTTCATTTCATGTTGGCAAAAGGAGATTTCAAAATACTTGTTATACAAAGTGGGTTTGGGTATGAAAGAATTGGTAACCATAGATTTACAGGCATAAGATTACAAAATGTTTGAGCTGGAAAGAATTTGGGGGATTATCTAATTCACTGACAGATAAGGAAATTGAGTCTGAAACAAATTCTTTATCTTGCCTAAGGTCACCCAGCAATTATTGGCAATGCCAGGACTTGGAACCATGCTGTTTTCCAGGACTATAAAAAAAAATTCATTCTTTCCTTTTTATTGTCCTTCCTTCCTTCTTTCTTTTCAATAAGTGCAACTGAGCTCCTACAGGTCAGGCATTGGGGTGGTCTTGATAATGCAGAGATGACTAAGACACAGCTCCAGTCTTTAAGGAGATCACAGGCTGTCTGGGAAACAGGACAGAGCTTGAATATGGTACAGCATGCCTTAGAGTAAACCTATGTTCAAAACATTACAAGGAGCAAACGACTGATCCTTTTCCTGGGAGTTTCCCGGTGATAGTGAAATTTGAATACTGAGGTGGGAGAAAGGCTAGGCCCAGTAGGAATAGTGTCACCCTCATTTAAGCAATTGCCCTGCCCAGGTGTGCAAAGCCACAATGGCCAAAACGAGACTATCTGTAATCAGGTATCAACTGCCCACAGCCCAGACATAGTTGGAGCCCTTAATGGCAAGAGTACAAATAGAAGCACAGGCTTGTCATTATCTTACCCAACACAGCCCTGAGACCAAGCAGAGGGCAGGGCTGTTTCAGAACACTTGGGACTTCATGAGGTTGACAGGGAGGAGGGAATGAAAGGGAAAGTCTCCAGGCAGCTCCCTGGGTTACAAGGGCCCGATAAGCCCCCGGATTTCTGCAGGCAGTGGCCAGAGTGCAAGCTAAGAAAACAGCTTGTTGATTGCTGAAGTGATTAAGTGGATCGCCTTATTGATTCTTACCTAGCTTGGAACAGACCTCAATAACCAACATCAAGTGCTTTAATAAGAGCAAAGGAAAGATTTACTGGATGCGAGTGCTTTTCATTAGAGAGGACTGAGGGGAAATAAAACATACTGACCCACCAGTGAGGGGCCACAGCATGGCTTCCAGCCTGGTGACTGCCAAGCAGACAGGAAGGTGAGTAAGAGGAAGTCAAATGAGACAGCCCTTGGGCCTGAGCTTATCAAAGCGTTCAAAAAGAATTTCCACAGATTGCTAGATTGTCTGCTTCCCTTCTCTTCCTCTCCACACTGCAAATCTCACCACCCAGGAAGCAAGGACACAGTCAGAGTGGCTGCTGCTTACTGCACCCAAAACCAGGCACCAGCTTGGACTTTTGGTAAGGATGGCCTCTAATCGTCACCTCAACCCTACAAGGAGTGTATAATTTTCTTCACATTACAAAGAAGGAAACAAAAAGTAAAGAAGACACTCAAATGGTGGCCTGTCATCTCAGCATTTTGGGAGGCTGAGGCAGGAGGACCACTTGAGCCCAGAAGGCCAAGACCAGCCTGGGCAACATGGTAAAATCCTGTCTTTACCAAAAATACACACACACACACACACACACATACAAATTAGCTGGGCATGATGGCATGCACCTGTAGTCCTAGCTGCTCAGGAGGCTGAAGTGGGAGGATTGCTTGAGCCCAAGAGCTCAAGGTTGCAGGGAGCCATGGTTGCACCACTGTGCTCCAGCCTGGGTGACACAGTGAGACCCTGTAATAAAATAAATTTAAAAAAAAATCCAGATAACTGTAGCACCAAGGTCTATGATTAAAAATTTTCTGTGGGCCTCTATTTTTCCTCTCAAGGCTTTGAGTTGAATACACTCTACCCTGCATAAATTGGCCAAATTTTTATTTTTAATCAGCAATTGCTGTGTGTCAGGTGTCAATCAAGTAGTACCCCATTTGATCTTCACAACCAGTTTAGAAGTTGGCCCTGTGATTATTATCCCCATTGTAGAGATCAGTCAACTGAGGCTTGGAGCATTAACTTGCCCAAGGGTTCTTCAGTTAGCATGCAGCAAAATGGGACCCTGAACACACTGTTGTCAGAATCCAGGTCCTAAACTCTAATCAACTACATCTTAAAGAAAGTGTAAATGAAAAACACAGGTGGCAGTCTAAGAAGACACAAAAGAATGCAAAGACTACATCCATTCATTCAAATGTTCAACAAATACCTATTAAGCTCCGACTGTACCGCAAGCATTTTTTTTAACCCTGAGGACATACAAAGTGATGATCAAAAAAGGCTGTCATGGGAATAATTTCTTTTGAAGACAGCAGATAATAATAGAGGAAAATATAAGATAAATAAGAAGAGTCCTGCAAGAGGGAAGTACAATACAGAAAATAAACCAGGGCAAAATGGGCAAGTCTGCATTATATTGGGTGGTCAGGTAGGTTTCACCTGAGAAAGTTGCCTATAAGCTGAGGTTTCAAGGACAAGAAGGTACTAACCTTGCAAAGGTTTGGTTGAAACACCTTCTAGGCAGGAGACAAAGCGAGTGCCAAGGCCATAAGGCAGGAATGGACTTGGTGCCTCCACAGAAGAGGAGGAGGCTGCAGTGATGAGTGAGGGAATGGTAGAAGAGGAGGCCTGAAAGGAGGGGCAGCAAAGTATCTGGGGCCTGGCAGGCCATCACAAGAAATTGGATTTCATTCTAATTAAGAGAGGAAGCCATGGAAGCATTTGAAATATTTTCAATGATTTGCATTTTTAAAACATAATTTTAACTGCTGTTTGGAGGGGACAAGAGGATGCAGGGAGACAAAAGGGGAGGCCACTGCAGGACTTCAGATGGAGCAATAATGTTGGCTCAGATCAGGTATAAGTGAGCTACATGAAGAAGTATCCACATCCTGAATGTAATTGGGGAAATTGCTGACCTCACTTGCCACTTTGCACTTTTGGAAGTGGACAGGAGCTGTTGCCTTTCTGATACTCCCGCATGGTGCCCCCTGCCAGCTGCTTTCATTATGTTTTGACCGGCTTCTGCCAAGTCAGACTACAAAAACTTCACTGAAATAACAGAATGTGATGCCGTCACCTCCTCTGCACACCCCAGGAGAGGGTTTTATAAAGTTTCACAAACAACAACGCCTGCTAGGAAGCCAGACAGCTCCCCTGACCACTGCCCAGGCTGACCCAGACAGAAGAGAGAAGCCACTGGTAGAGAACTCTGTGCTCTTCTAAACAGCCCCAGGGGCGGTTTGCCCTGTTCACTGTGGTCAAAGTGGCATTACTACTTCAGAAGAAATAGAAAATGAGGTGAACTAGAAGAAAACTGAAGTCACAATGAGATACTACCTCATATATTTAAAGGCAACTGAGAGACGCTGGGTTTCCTCCTGGCATGTCTGTGAAAATGCAAGAAAGGTCTGTCTACCACCAACTTGTTTAAATCAGGGGAAATTCATCAGAAGGATAATGAAGAACTTGTCAGGGAGCATTCCTTTGTGTCATGTTCTCAGGAGGGAAGACAGCCAGTGGCATGCAATCGTCTTCAGGTCTGACTGGGGGAGACAGAAGGTTGGGCACAAGGTGAACTGTCAGGAGAAAAAAAAATTAAGAGAACCTTAGAGAAGATGAGTCTTGTACATAATTGATCTGACAGAGCACTGCCCACCCCATCACTACAGCTGAAATATGGCCACTCTCTCATGTGGGAATGCACTTGCGTTTAAGGGCACCAGATGCCATCTATTAAGGAAAGTGTTTAAGCAGGAAAGATAACATGTCTGTCAGTGTGAGCTAGTGATTGTGGGGACTCAAAGACTACACCAGAGTCTCAGGATCAAAAAAATTCTACCTTTATCCTAAATAAAAAGGAATTTTATTCATCAAATAAATGAAGGAAGGGAGTGAATGACTTATGACAACCTCCCCTCCTGACGTTTGGTTTGTTAGTTGTACTCAGGGAAAAAATGCTGTCCACTCTAGAGAACGTCATAAAAAGTGGTTCTAGAATTAGTCTCAGCTACCTGAGTTTGCTACTTCCTAAGGGTAGGGTAAAATAAATCCATTATTTCATCAACAAATACTTTTTAGTATTTGTCATTCTGCTAGGTACAATATTAAACAAGATAGGCACACCATCCCTGCCCTCATGAACTTAACAATTCAGTCAGTTTTCAAGTCTTTTTAGATATTTAGGCATATGTATTAGTCTGTTCTCACACTGCTATAAAGGACTGCCCAATACTGGGTAATTTATAAAGAAAAAGGTTTAATAGACTCACAGTTCTGCATGGCTGGGGAGGCCTCAGGAAACTTACAATCATGGTGGAAGGGGAAGGAAGCACATCCCTCCTCACATGATGGCAGGAAGGAAAAGTGCCAAGCAAAAGGGGGAAAAGTCCCTTATAAAACTATCAGAACTCTTGAGAACTCACTCACTATCACAAGAACAGCAGCATGGGGTAACCACCCCCATGATTGAATTACCTCCCACTGGGTCCCTCCCACAACACATGGGGATTATGGGAACTACAACTCAAGGTGAGATTTGAATGAGGGCACAGACAAACCATATCATTTATCTCCAGTCCTTCCCAAATCTCATGTCCTGATATCATTTCAAAATATAATTATGCCTTCCCAACAGTCCCCCAAAGTCTTAACTCATTCCAGCATTAACCCAAAAGTCCAAGTCAAAAGTCTCATCTAAGACAAGGCAAGTCCCTTCCACCTATGAGCCTGTAAAATCAAAAACAAGTTAGTTACTTCCCAGATACAATAGGGATACAAGCATTAGGTAGATATGCCTGTTCCAAATGGAAGAAATTGGCAAAAATGAAGGGCTACAGTCTTCATGCAAGTCCAAAATCCAGCAAGAGGTGGGCTCATACAGCCTTGGGCAGCTCTGCCCCTGTGGCTTTTAGGGTACAGCCCCCCTCCCAGCTTCCTTCATGGGCTGCCAGTGAGTGTCTGAAGCTTTTTCAGGTGCATGGTGCAAGCTGTCAGCAGATCTACCATTCTGGGGATCTGTAGGACAGTGGCTCTCTTCCCATAACTCCACTAGGCAGTGCCCCAGTAGGGACTCTGTATAGGAGATCCAACCCCACATTTCCCTTCCACACTGCCCTAGCAGAGGTTCTCCATGAGGGCTCCGCCCCTGCCGCAAACTTCTGCCTGGACATCCAGGCATTTCCATACATCCTCTGAATTCTAGGGAGTGGTTCCCAAGCCTCAGTGCTTGACTTCTGTGTACCTACAGGCTCAATACCACATGGAAAGTGCTGAGGTTAAAAGCTTGCACCTTCTGAAGCCACAGTCCCAGCTGTATCTTGGCCCCTTTTAGCCATGCCTGGGATGCAGGGCATCAAGTCCTGAGATCACACAAAGAAGCAAGGCCTTGGGCTCAGCCCACGAAACCATTTGTTCCTCCTAGGACCCCTGGCCTGTGATGGGAGGGACTGCTATGAAAGTCTCTGACATGTCCTGGAGACATTTTTCTCATTGTCTTGGTAATTAACATTTGGCTCCTCATTACTTATGCAAATTTCTGCAGCCTGCTTGAATTTTTCCTCAGAAAATGGATTTTTCTTTCCTATCACATTGTCAGCCTGCAAATTTTCCAAACTTTTATGTTCTGCTTCCTTCTTAAACATAAATTCCATTTCCAAACAATATATTTGTGAATACATAAAACTGAATGCTTTTAACCACATTCAAGTCACACCTTTTATTTATTTATTTAATTTTATTTTTTCAAGATGGAGTCTCACTCTGTCATCCAGGCTGGAGTGCAGTGGCACAATCTCGGCTCACTGCAACCCCTGCCTCCCAGGCTCAAGCAATTCTCCTGCCTCAGCCTCCCGAGCAGCTGGGATTACAAGTGTGCACCAAAACACCCAGCTAATTTTTTTTTTGAGATGGGGTCTTGCTCTGTCACCAGTCTGAAGTGCAGTGGCACAATCACAGCTCACTGCAACCTCTGCCTCCCAGGTTCAAGTAATTCTTCTGCCTCAGCCTCCTCAGTAGCTGGGACTACAGGTGTGCACCACCATGCCCAGCTAAACTTTGTATTTTTAATAGAGACAGGGTTTCACTATGTTGGCCAGAATGATCTCGATCTCTTGACCTCATGATCTGCCTGCGTCAGCCTTCCAAAGTGCTGGGATTACAGGCATGAGCCACCACACCCTGCCCACACCCAGTTAATTTTTATATTTTTCATAGAGACAGGGTTTCACTATGTTGGCCAGGCTGGTCTCAGAACTCTTGACCTCCAGTAATCTGCCCGACTCAGCTTCCCAAAGTACTGGGATTACAGGCATGAGCCACCATGCCCAGCCCCAAGTCACCTCTTGAGCACCTTGCTGCTTAAAAAATTTCTTTCACCGATACCTTAAATTGTCTCTCTCAGGTTCAAAATTCTGAAGATCTCTAGGGCAGAGGCAAAATGCCACCAGTCTCTTTACTAAAGGATAGCAAGAATTACTAT